GGGGGGGAAAGGGTAGGTTTGTATTATAGATTTATATGTATGATTTTTTTAAGGAGGTGCCCGGTGATACCCCAACTGCACAAGACGGGATGGTTGAGGGAGGAAGGGAAGTAGAGAAGAGGGAGGAAGGAGGAGTGGTGGTAGAATGGGAGGAGGAAGGAGTGTGTAAGTGGAAGAGGGTGGTGCGGGAGGGGGACACCGGACACGTCCGTGAATGTTTTGTTTAGTTTTATTCTCTTTGGTTGATATTGTGATAAAAGATTTATGTTTCTGTTTTTTAAATGAAAAATAATAAAAATTTATTTAAAAAAAATGCACAAACAGAAAAATAAGAAGAGATTAGACCGTCACTTGTCTGAAATGGGATAGGTTCTCCTGCTTGAGCAGGGGGCTGGACTAGATGACCTCCAAGGTCCCTTCCAGCTCTATTCTGGGGTCTCCTGCTTAAGAAGGGGGCTGGACTAGATGACCTCCAGGGTCCCTTCCAGCTCTGTTCTGATGGCAAACAGCAGCCTCGACAGAGGGGTTAGCAGGAGGAAGGAGGAGGAAAAAGTGAAACTGGATCAGCTGCAATTTGTTTCCTTTCCATTCATGGGATTCATAATCTAAACAGGCAGCCTGGAAACTCCCAAGAGATACCAAAATGTCACTCCAGTTTAACCTCTGCCAACCTTCTTGGGTTAAAAACGGAAGAAAAAATAAATAAAAAGAGATATATTAAGAGGACAGCTGTGTCATTCTAACCAGCGTTTCTCAGTGGGTTGTTTTTTTTTAAGAAGACAACCATTGTTCTGAAATGGTACTATAGGTTCTCCTGCTTGAGCAGGGGGCTGGACTAGAAGACCTCCAAGGTCCCTCCCAACTCTACTCTACTCTACTCTACTCTACTCTACTCTACTCTATCTCTATGCTACTCTATTCTATTCTATATTCTGTATTCTATTCTACTCTATATTCTATTCTATTCTACTCTACGTTCTATTCTATTCTACTCTACTCTGTTCTGTTCTGTTCTATTCTATGCTATGCTACGCTACTCTATTCTATATTCTACTCTACTCTATATTCTATTCTATTCTATTCTAGTCTACATTCTATTCTATTCTGTTCTGTTCTGTTTTGTTCTGTTCTATTCTATTCTATGCTATGCTATGCTACGCTACTCTATTCTATATTCTATATACTCTGCTCTATATTTTATTCTATTCTATTCTATTCTATTCTATTCTATTCTAGTCTACGTTCTATTCTATTCTGTTGTTTTGTTCTGTTCTATTCTATGCTATGCTATGCTACACTACTCTATTCTATATTCTATATACTCTGCTCTATATTTTATTCTATTCTATTCTAGTCTACATTCTATTCTATTCTGTTCTGTTCTGTTTTGTTCTGTTCTATTCTATTCTATGCTATGCTACGCTACTCTATTCTATATTCTATATACTCTGCTCTATATTTTATTCTATTCTATTCTATTCTATTCTAGTCTACGTTCTATTCTATTCTGTTGTTTTGTTCTGTTCTATTCTATGCTATGCTACGCTACTCTATTCTATATTCTATATACTCTGCTCTATATTTTATTCTATTCTATTCTAGTCTACATTCTATTCTATTCTGTTCTGTTCTGTTTTGTTCTGTTCTATTCTATTCTATGCTATGCTACGCTACTCTATTCTATATTCTATATACTCTGCTCTATATTTTATTCTATTCTATTCTATTCTATTCTAGTCTAGTCTACGTTCTATTCTATTCTGTTGTTTTGTTCTGTTCTATTCTATGCTATGCTACGCTACTCTATTCTATATTCTACTCTACTCTATATTCTATTCTATTCTAGTCTAGTCTAGTCTAATCTAGTCTAGTCAATATTCTATTCTATTCTATTCTATTCTATTCTATTCTATTCTATTCTATTCTATTCTATTCTATTCTATTCTATATTCTACTCTACTCTATTCTATATTCTATTCTATTCACCTTGGCAATTTTAATACATGTGTACTTCCACTCCCAGAATTCCCCAGCCAGCCATAGTCCACATTTTTGAAAGTTGCCAAGATTGACAAATACTATCTAAAGCTTCTTTGGCTGTTTATACAGGTAATCCTCAAGTTACAACAGTGATTTTGGGCCAATCACCAGGAGACGGTGAGTTCTAGTCCCACCTTAGATATGAAAGCCAGTGAGAAAAGCCGGATTCACTTAACGAGGGCAGCAAAAAATGTCATAAAATGGGGCATGACTCCCTTAAGGACCACATCGTTTAAGGATAGAAGTTCCGATCCCAATTGTCGTCATAAGTCAAGGACTTTCCGGGAGATCTCAAGGGGAAAAGAGAAGTGTAAAAAAAAAAAAAAGGGGGACTTTGGCACGTATCACATGTCCTTTTGAAGTCCCGGGAGAATTGCGTCCAATTTCTCCTTTTTTTAAAGAAAGTCCAGCAGATTAGATAATTGTTCCTTCAGGAGAAAATATTCAGCGCAAAAACATCGGAAACCTTTTGAATTTCCCAGAGGAATAGCCATCCATCAACCCAACGGGCTGCTTGCCTTGGGCAGTAACAATATCCTCATTTTTTTTAAAAAAAAATCACAGTTTGGTTTTCCTGCAGCCCCAAGGCAGCTTTTTGCTATATATATATATATATTTAAAAAAACCGTGCATGCATCTATTATCACTCAAGTTTTATTAATGGGTGTGGTGGTGGTGGTGGGGGAAATTTATTTATACCCTTCTTATCTTGCTCTGCCCTCTGGCGATTCGGAGAGGCTGGCAAGAAAGACACGGCCATAAATTAGCCCGTTAAAATAGCCCTTTGCAGCTGATAAAGACAGTGACGAAGGCAGACAGGATAATCTTATTTTTAACTGGGGAACATAAATTAAAAATGCAGGGAAAGGGCCGATGGGCACCTATTGTGCAGATGTTTTGTCTTCTGATGTAATTCTTCTTATGTCCACTTTAATTGTTGTTTCTTAAAATATTTCATTAATTTTTTATTTTTACAAATTGTAAGTGCTTAGTAAACAACGATGTAAAAAAGATGTTGAGACTCTAGACAGAGTGCAGAGAAGAGCAACAAAGATGATTAAGGGACTTGGAGGCTAAAGTATATAAGGAACGGCTGCTGGAATTGGGCATGTCTAGTCTAATGAAGAGAAGGACGAGGGGGGACAGGATAGCAGTCTTCCAGTATCTCAAGGGCTGCCCCAAAGAAGAGGGAGTCAAGCTATTTTCCAAGGCGCCTGAAGGCAGGACAAGAAGCAATGGGTGGAAACTAACCAAAGAGAGAAGCAACCTAGAACTAAGGAGAAACTTCCTGACAGTGAGAACAATTAACCAGTGGAACCACCTGCCTCCAGAAGCGGTGAATGCTCCAACACTGGAGGTTTTTAAGAAGAGACTGGACAGCCATTTGTCTGAAATGACACAGGGTTTCCTGCCTGAGCAGGGGGTTGGACTAGATGATCTCCAAGGTCCCTTCCAACTTTACTACTACTACTACTACTACTACTACTACTACTACTACTACTACTACTACTACTACTACTACTACTACTACTACTATTAACCTGTTCTCTAGGTCCATTTTTTACTTAAAAATACACATTCAATTCCTAATCTCTACCCCTTTTTTCCAGCCAGTAATAAACAATATCCCGTCTTTGAAATTATTCTGTCTCTTCTTTTTCTTTGTTTCCTTCCGTATCGCTCTGTCCATTTCTACACGTTCCTTTCTTTTCTTTTCCGAGCAATGTTTTTTCATTTCTCGCACACTAAACCAATACGATTCTTACTGCTATTAATACATACACCTTTAAATATATATATTTCCACCTTAATTGTTGATCACCCAGAGATATGGGCTGCTCCTGCTTGTCCTCTACATACAACCGTTCATTTAATGACCGTTCGTTACTATGGCACTGAAAAAAAGGTGGCTGCTGATCGGTCCTCGCACTTACGACCGTTGTAGCGTCCCCAGGGTCACAGGATCGAAATTCAGGCACTTGGCAATGGACTCGTACTTATGACGGTCGCAGCATCCTGAGGTCACCCTGGGAACTTCCAAACCATAGGTAGTCCTTGACTTACAACCATCCATTTATGACTATTCGAAGTTACGACGGCACTGGAAAAAAGGGACTTAGGACCACTTTTCACACTTAATGACCGTTGCAGCATCCTCAATGGTCAACGTGATCAAAAATTCGGCTGCTTGGCAACTGATTTGTATTTACGACGGACGCAGTGTGTCCCGGGGGGGTCACATGATCCCCTTTTCAGACCTTCTGACAAGCTAAATCAGTGGGGGGGAAGCCGGATTCACTTAACAACCGTGTGTCTAACTTAACAACGGCAGTGATTCACTTAACAACCAGGCCGAGAAAGGTTGTAGAATGGGTCAAAATTCACTTTAAAAACTGTCTCACTTAGCAACGTAAATTAGGGGCCTTCACTGTGCTCGTAATTCGAGGACACCCCATAATAACAGAGACTAGAAAACGGAGGCTTCCCTCGTCTTGTTTCTCCTTAGACTGAATTACAGGGTGTCCTCGACTTACGGCCATCCGTTTAGCGACAGTTCAAAGTTACGACGTTGCTGGAAAAAAGGGACTCGTAACCAGTCCTCAAACTTAAAACCTTTACGGAGAACAAAACGGGACAAAGTTCACTTCACGAATGTTTCACTTAGCAACAAAAATGGGGGGGGATCAATTTTGGTCGTTAAATGGAGGACTACCTGTAATCTCTCTTTTCCTACAGGAGAGACATCGTTTGTTTATCAACGTACTGATTGATTGACATGCTTGTGAGTTGGCTTCTGATTGCTTTTGACTGCTTTGATCGTGGTTAGTAAACTAGCCAGGATTTACGGATACGCCAGATGGCCAACACTATAAATCTTTTAAATAAATAATAATAGTCTCCTTAAATCTATCTCTGTGCTCGCTAGGAGCCAAAAAGGCGACTTGATGACACATACATGAATGAATCACTTGTAATGAACGGTGGGAATGGTGTCAGACAATTTTTTTCATGTTGTGTATGTGTTGTCTGGTGTCTCCCGAGACATTTGTTCAGCGGGTTTTGCCCTCGTTTTACCATCTGTCTTGCCACCGTTGTTCAGCGAATTAAGATAGTAACCTGGTCTTTAAGTGAATCCGGCTTTCCACAACTTAGCTCGGCGGAAGGCCGTGAAAGGCAATCGATCGCGTGACCCCAGGACGCTGCGACCGTCATCAATACGAGTCAGTTGCCAAAAGCGTCTGAATTTGGATCATGTAAAACCCCAGGCGTGCTGCAATGCTCACGGTCACCAGTGTGAAAAACGGTCACGTCACTTTTTTCAGCGCCCTTGTGACTTTGAACGGTCGCTAAGTGAACTGTTGTTAAGACGAGGACTACCTGTAATAACAACCCAATTGTCTGAAATGGTGTGTAGGGTTTCCTGCCCGAGCAGGGGGTTGGACTAGATGACCTCCAAGGTCCCTTCCAACTTTATTATTATAGAATAGAAAACAGAATAGAGAATAGAATAGAATAGAATAGAATAGGAAGGGACCTTGGAGGTCTTCTAGTCCAGCCCCCTGCTCAAGCAGGAGACACTACATTATTTCAGACAGGTGATTGTCCAGTCTCTTTTTAAAAACTTCCAGCGATGGAGCGCCCACAATTATGATGATGATGATGATGATGATGATGATGATGAATAATAATAATATAATAATAATAATAATAATAATAATAATAATAATAATAATAATAATAATAATAACAATAATAATAATAAAGTTGGAAGGGACCTTGGAGGTCATCTGGTCCAATCCCCTGCTCAGGCAGGAACCCTACACCATTTCAGACAAATGGCTGTCCAGTCTCTTCTTAAAAACTTCCAGTGTTGGTGCATTCACCACTTCTGGAGGCAGGTTGTTCCGCTGGTTAATTGTTCTAACTGTCAGGAAGTTTCTCCTTAGTTCTAGGTTGCTTCTCTCCTTGATTAGTTTCCATCCGTTGCTTCTTGTCCTGCCTTCAGGCGCTTTGGAGAATAGCTTGACTCCCTCTTCTTTGGGGCAGCCCCTGAGATACTGGAAGGCTGCTATCCTGTCCCCCCTCGTCCTTCTCTTCGTTAAACTAGACATTCCCAATTCCAGCAGCCGTTCCTTATATGTTTTATCCTCCAGTCCCCTGATCCTCTTTGTTGCTCTTCTCTGCCCTCTTTCTAGAGTCTCAGCATCTTTTTTACATCGTGGTGACCAAAACTGGATGCAGTATTCCAAGTACTACTACTACTACTACTACTACTACTACTACTACTACTACTACTACTACTACTACTACTATTATTAAATCTCTCCAGATTAGCTGCTGAGCTGAGAGTATTGCCACTGGAATACTAAATTTAACCCGGGAAGGGATTTACCTCTTTGTCTCTTATTTTAAGAGGTTTGATTTGAAATACAAGCAGTCCTCAACTTACGACGTTAGGGGAGCCTGGCCAAGTCATGATGGCCGTAAAACGGGTAGCTTCAAGTGAACCTACCCGATTTTACAATCATTTTCGCAGCGGCCGTCAAGCAAATCGTTGCGGTCGTTAAGTGAGTCACGCAATGGTCGTTAAGCGAATCCAGCTCCCCTCGTTGACTTCGCTTGTCAGAAGCCAGAAGGTTGCGAATGGCAATCACGTGACCCCCCCCCCCCGGGATGCTGCGACTGTCATAAATACACACGCTGGTGGCATTTTGCGATTTTGATCTCATGATCCTGGGACTGCTATGACGGTCATAAGTGTGAGGACTGGTCTTCAGTCACCTTTGTCACTGTAACTTGGAATGGTCACTAAAATGAAGGGTGGTAATTATGGTATTTGCCTCCTGTTCTTCTGCACAATTGCAGTCCCTCTGCCCTCCACTAGGGGCGTCCTCGGGAAGCTCTCCGCTGCGCGTAGGTAGCCCCTGGTGGAGCAGGCGGGAACTTTACTCACCTTGTCTTGGCTGTTGAGCTCTTGATAAGGGATGTGAGCGGGCAGGTAGGTGTGTAGGAGGGCGCAGAAGGCCAGGCCGTCACTCCAGCTGCTGCTGAAGTTGGTGATGTCGATATTCTGCAAACGCAACGAGAGGAGAAGAATGATGCACGGATGAGGTAACCTGGTTGGTTCATGAAACGTCTGCCAGGAAACCAGGTTCGGAGAGCACCGAGGACCCCACGGTTCTTCTCCTCCTCCTCCTCCCCTTCCTCCTCCACTCCAGACACCTCACTCCCTTCTCACACTGATGAGGTAACCTAGTTGGGTCAGGAAATGTCTGCTAGGAAACCAGGTTCGGAGAGCACCAAGGAGCCTTCCTTCCTTCCCTTTTTCTCCTTCCTTCCTTCCTTCCTTCCTTCCTTCCTTCCTTCCTTCCTTCCTTCCTTCCTTCCCTTTTTCTCCTTCCTTCCTTCCTTCCTTTTTCTCCTTCCTTCCCTTTTCCTCCTTCCTTCATTCCTTCCCTT